AAAAAAAAAACAGATGAAAATCTGTTCTTCAGAAAAGATCGTAGACACGACAGTGTGAAGGCGTTTATCATACAAAGCGGTTCGTGTTTATGATCATTAATATTAACAACTGAATGATTTTGGCGATCGGTAATCCATGATCGGCCCAAAAATGCTGATCGGAGCATCTAAACTTAAGTCTTTAATTCGGTGTTCTGGGTCTTAAATATTTTAGCACAGGTTTTATTTTTCCGGTGTCCATGTAACGCTACATCTAATGCTCATTTAAAGTCTTTTTTGTTGTTGTTGCTTGGTTTTCGTGGGGTTGTAGTTCTTTCACTATTCCACTTGTAATTTGCTTCAGCATACTGTGGTATAAAGAATAGTGAATTAATAAAATGAAATACAGTGTAGTTTTACTACAGTAAAGTCCGGTGAATTGTAGAATAATATACCCAATATTGTAAAAAAAAAAAAAAAAATCCAGCACTGGGTAATTTGTTTATATTACACATGTTGTGTTACTTTAGCAACTACAGTATTACCACAACAGATTAAAGTAGTTTACTATAGTACTTTTTAAAACAGTACATGTCAATATGTGTGTTCAGGGGCCCTATTGAACAGCTTTTCCTCAAAATGAAGAGGATGACAGGGAAAATGTCCTCAGCAATCTTATCATTAATGTGGAAGACAGCAGATACTATAGTTCACTTTATTTTAGTTGCCATGATAAATAGAGATTGATAGTGGGATTTATTTGTAGAGTGATAGTTTTCCCCTATTTTCTATCACAGTTACATTTCTGCTTGCGTTATAGTTAAGTGCTTATGGATAACCTTTTGGATGCTTAATAAATGTTTTAAAATAAAACTGTTCTTTGTATTTTTTAACTTTGTTTGAAGCTGGAAATATCTCATCATATAACATACAGCCAAAAATGTTATGGTTTATTGGATTAAAAATGTCATATGCAAGTCTATTTTAGTATTTTGGTAATTGGTAATAAATAGTGCACCAATATAAATCATATCAAGGAAGAGGGAACACTTGATGCACATTGTGAGTCTGCATATAATCTCACTGAGCCAGCAGTGTACTGAGGTCGCACAAGAAAATTTGTGCGTAGGGCAGTACATATTTGAGAGTGAGATTTGTTGCTCGAGCATCGTATAATATTTGAGAGCTCGCACACAGTTTTGTCCATAAACAGAGGAAATCAGTGCACGAGCAAAGAGATTTGCTCGCTCATTACATAATGGCACTCTTGACTTGTAATACTGCGCTCACAAGATTTTTCTGTGAAATAACGCCAGAGAGGAGGTAATGGAATTTTTTTTTTTACTTGGAGGAACAGTTCGTGTGGCACTATATTTGATTTGAGTTGAATATAAAACACTTTAAAGAGATTTTGTTTAAAACAGGTACATCTCTACAGACCTCTTTATGATCTGTCCATGCATGATCATCATAGGGAGAACCAGATGACCAATAATTCTTGGCTAGAAATGGCAACAGCAGTGGAAAAGGAGGAAAGTGTTTGCAAAAGTTTGGAAAAACCTGAGGTATAAGTTTGTTAAAAAAAATAAATAAAAATAAATTTAAAAAAAGCCCCCCAAAAACATCTTGAATCATATTAATATTACTTAATGGTCTTAAAAAGGTCTTTAAAAGTCTTAAATTTGACATTATGATATCTGCAGAAACCCTGTTTTCACAGTTCCTTTAATTTAGATTTTTTAGCACAAATAAAAAGCTTAATGCTGAAGCTAATGTAAAGCTCTGCCAGGCCTCTACAGCAACTGTCTTCAGTTAGGGCTTTAGTTGCTTGTTCTTGGGGCATTTTCCCTTCAATTTTGTCTTCAGCAAGGAAAATGCATGGAATCGGATTCAGATCATGTGATTGACTTGGCCATTGCATGGCATTCCATTTCTTTCCCTTCAAAAATTCTGGTTGCTTTTTGAACATGCTTTTTGTCATTGTCCATCTGCACTGTGAAGCACCATCCAAAGAGATCTAAAGCATTTGGCTTAATGTGAGTAGAAAATATTTCCTGAAACACTTCATAATTCATCCTGCTGCTTTTGTCAGCAGTCACATCATCAGTAAATTCAAGAGAACCAGACAGCCATACGTGCTTAGGATCATAAGCAGTTATTTTCCTTCTCTTCCTCACTCTGCTACAAGTTGATCTTGATCTCATCTGTCCAAAGGATGTTGTTCTAGCACTGTGAAGGCTCTTATAAAACTCTAATCTGGCCTTCCTGTTTTTGAGGCTCACCAAAGGTTTTAATTTTGTGGTGAACTCTCTGTATTTCCTCTGGTGTAATCTTCTATTGACTGTTGACTTTGATACACATACACCTACCTCCTGGATAGTGTTCTTGATCTGGCCAACTGTTATTGGTCAACTGTAACTGTTGTCTTCACCAGGGATGTTTTCTGTGTTCTTCTGGGTCTTTTGGTATTGCTGAGCTCAATGGTGCGTTCTTTCTTTTTAGGAAAGTTCCAAACAGTTGTTTTGGCCATGCCCAATGTTTTTGCAATCTCTCTGATGGGTTTTCTTTTTTTCTTTTTTTTCATCTTAATGATGGCTTGCTTGACTGATAGTGACCGTTCTTTGGATCTCATCTTGAGAGTTGGCGGTAACATATTCCAAATGTAAATAGCACACTTGATATGAACTCAGGACTTTTTGTCTGCTTATTGTAATTGGGATAATGAGGGAATAACACACACGTCCATGGTACAGCTTAGAAGTCACTCGTCCAATTACTTTTGGACCCTTAACAAGTGGGAGGCACATATGCAAACTGTTGTAATTCCTACAACGTTCACCTGATTTGAGTTAAAGCACACCTTGCTTGTTTCATTTCAAATTAATTAGCTGTTTCTCAATTCCAAGAACACAGAGGACAGACTTGCGTTCTTGTGGAAACCGGTCTTGCCAGGTGTCCTCGGAAGAACGAACTCAGACCGCGAGGGCAGAGAACTCGTCCTTTGAGAAAAGAGATGCTGCGTTCTTCCTGATGGTCACATGACCTACACGTGTTTTAAATGGTAAATAATTTAAACATTACAGCAGTCATTCGATATATTGTTTCTCCCCTTTTCAAAATACATACCTTGCATAAAAACATAAATATACACTACACCAGGGGTTACCAACCCTGTTCCTGGAGAGCTACCTTCCTGCAGATTTCAGTTGCAACCCTGACCAAATACACCTGTTTGTAATTATCAAGTGCTGCTTTAGGTACTATTAATTGGTTCAGGTGTTGTTTGATCAGGGTTGGGACTGAATTTTGCAGGAAGGTAGCTCTCCAGGAACAGGGTTGGTGACCCCTGCACTACACAATATAAATAAAACAGATTTTAATACAAATCTTATCAAACAAACACCCTTAATATTTATTCCTTTATTAAGATATTTCATTATTAAGATTATTTCATTTGGGGAAACTCCTGAGGTAAATCAGTGATATCTCTGAGCTTTAATAAAAAATCTAAATAAAATGCTGCGCTTACCATTTCCAGTCGCAATGACTTCTGGGACTTCCAGAGTGAGTTCGGTGCTCAAGTCTGCATCGGTGCATCCTCGATATCAAGATCACATACAGGAAGTTTCACGCGTCCTCCATACTTGCGGTCATGAGTATTTGAAATAAACTCAGGCAGCTATTGATGACGTTACACGAGGACACAAGACCGCTGAAGAACGCATATTGAGAAACAGCCATAGTGTTGGTATATAGACAAAAATGTTAGAATTGTATCAATGTCCAAATAATTATGACCCTAACCGTACATGACCTTTTAAAATAAAATAAAAAACAATTTAAAATAAAATGTAGCTGACCAAATTAATCACTCATGACAGTGTGTACATTTTCAAGTTAGACTATGTATTGCTTATGAGCTGAGCTGATTTGATGTAAAATGTTACATTACAAATAGCCATTACTAAGAACACATATTATTTCTTAAAATAAGTATAAGGAAGAGTTGTAGTATACACAAGTTGTAAAGTATGCAAACTTAATTATGAATGAATCTGGGTGCCAACTTGTGGTCTCTATCTCTGTTTCAACCATTACTGATGCTGAAGATTTTCTTTTATTTTTTTTATAGCAGTCTAATAAAAAGCTAAAACACGTTATCTGATAGTTGACTGGAGAAGACTGTGGAAAGTACAATATTTTTGTCTTTTTTTTGTCTTTTCTGGCCTTGGTCTCTGTAGGATGTCTGGCAAACATCTTGCATTCACATAAGACAATTGTTTGTTAGTTTTGTCAGCAGGCCTTTTGAGCTTTAAATAGACAGTGACCACCATAAACATAGACCTGTGTGAAATGCATGTTCCCTTCACAGGTAACTAAATTAGAAACATGCAAAATCAGTGACTTTTATTAATTATAATTTAAAAAAAGTACATTCAAATTTAATATATACACAGTCTTAGAATAAAAGGTGGCATGGTGGCTCAGTGGATAACAGTCCAGTGTCGCCTCAGAGCAAGGAGGTTGCTGGATTGACTGACAGTTGGGCCAGGAGGCATTTCTGTGTGGAAATTGCATGTTCTCTTCGTGTTTGCCTGGGTTTCCCCATAGACCAAAGACATGCTGTATACGTGAATTGGGTAAACTAAACTGGCTGTAGTGAATAAATGTATATGTGAATGAGAGAGTAAATGGGTCTTTTCCCAGTGCTGGGTTGTGGCGGGAAGAGTATACACCTCATAAAACATATTGCAGAGTAATTGGCAGTTCATTCCACTGCAGTGACACCTGTTAAATCGGGGACTGAGCCGAAGTATAGTGAATCTTAGAATGAACTGTAAGAGTGTACCTGTTTTATAGTGGATGTACTTGTTCCTTCAGTTAAAAACACTCCTGGGCCTGATTGGTTTATTTCCTCTGTGTGAAACAATACGCATCCAGTATTTATAAGCTAAGAAGAAAGTTTAATCTTTTCAGCATTAATATCACAATTCTCTGTCGGGCAAAAAAACAGATTGACAATAACTTAGAACTGACTTTTATTTCAGTCTAATAAAATTTTTTTTTTACATAAAAATCCCCAAATCAAACCAAACAATAAAATCAATTATTGATACACTCATTTTTTTTTATCTATTGACAGTGTAAAAAGTAACAATAACAAAATGTATAATAATTAAAAACACTTTTTCAAGATTCCTTGTTTAACAACATGGTTACTAAAATCAAATTAAAAAAAGACTAAAATCAAAGAATTGTTTTAGATATTCTCATGTTAAGCAAGCTAAATAACTCCATGAATGATACATTTTGGCAATATTACTATATCATTTGAAAAAATAAAATAAATCTAAAAACTAGATAAAAAAAAAACAATTAACAATTCAACCTAAATAGCTGCAAAATATCTTAAAAAGTCTGAAGATATTCCGGAATTAATTTCCATTAAACACACTAGCAATAGTGATGTCTGCATTTGAATTATTTACATGTGAATGTAGCAATGTAACACCCACCCAAGTATATATACTGCAAGTATTTACAAGACACATCTTTCAATTCATTAGCCAATTACTCAGAAAAACAACAGACCTTAGTGTTGTGTCATGTGTGCTTCTTGTTCTGTTACATTTTTTAAGTTCACAAGTAAATCATTTGCAACTCACTGTTTCTAATAACAGCGTTTCAAAAGGTTACTGGTGTATTTTTTTACACTGTACACACACACATACTGGGGTTGGACAATGAAACTGAAAAACTAGCCAATTTAGTTATGGTGGCCAATCTTTATTGACTACACATTCCACTAATACGAGCATAGTGTGGAAGTAGCAATGGCAAAGTTTTACTTAAAATATTGCAATGCAGACAATGTTATGGGTGACATATCAGAGTTCATAAGAGGACAAATTTGTGCACATCTCACTGGTTTATCTGTGACCAAGACAACAAGTCTTTATGACGTATCAAGAGCCACAGTATATAGGGGAATGTCAGCATGCCACTGAGAAGGAAGAACCCCATCCTTCAGAAGTAACTCCGAATGTAAGATAAAGCTGTATGAAAGGCATGTCTGGGTTCTAACCCAGATTGTATCTGAAAAACATAAAATTACAGGTGCCCAACTCACTGCAGAATTAAATGTTTACTTCAACTCTCCTGTGTCTTCTAAAACTGGTCGTTGGGAGCTCCACAAGGTCATTATACATGGCCGGGCTCCTATGACCAATCCTTTGGTCACTTGTGCTAATGCCAAACATTGCTTTTAATAGTGCCATCAGCAAAAATCTTGGGCTGTGGACAATGCGAAACATGTATTGTTCTCTGACGAGTCCACCTGTCTTTCTCACATCCCGGAGTTAAGGTGTGAAGCCCCAAAGAAGTGTACCACACGGACTGTTGCAAACCCAGAGTAAAGCATGGTGGTGGATCAATGATGGTTTGGGCTGAAATATCATGGCATTTTCTAGGCCCAATAGTTGTGCAAGATGGGCACATCACTGCCAAGGATTACCAAACCATTCTGAAGGACCATGTGCAACCAAAGGTTCAAACACTGTATCCTGAAGGCGGTGCCATATATTACGATGATAATGCACCAATACACACAGCAAGACGGGTGACAGAGTGCTTGGATGAAAATGAACATGAACATCTCCCATGGCCTGCACAGACACGAGACCTAGACATTACTGAACCACTTTGGAGTGTTTTGGAGGAGCAAGTTAGGAAAGATTTTACTCTACCAGCATCACGCCACTATTCTGCAAAAATAAATAAATAAAAATGCTCACTCTGGCCACTGTGCAAGACCTGTTTATGTCATGTCCAAGTCTAATTGATGTTGTATTGGCCACAAAATGAAACCGTACACCATAGTAATGAACTATTGTGGTTTAAAACTAGGGTTTTCAGATTCATTGTTCAACCCCTGTGTGTGCATTATATATATATATATATATATATATATATATAAATAAAGGAATTTAACAGCATAAAAAGTCAACGGCAGCATTCCCAGCAACCAGTACTTTCAAATGATCTTAATGAAGGATGTGTTAATGATAATTTAGATTTTGGTTAATTTATCCCATTAAGTCATTATTTATTTGAAAGGTTCTAGATTGCCTGTTAGGGCAGAGTCCATGAGATCATCATCCTCTGTATGCATGTACACAGGACTTGGTCGTGATGAACGCTCAGAGCTAAGCAATGACACTGATGTTTCTGAAGATATAGGAGATCTAGACCAATTATCTGTCTTTACTGTGTGTGAGGGCCCACAAGACATTGACTTCTTCTTTTCTTTTTCCTTATCTCTCTCCTTATCTCTTTCACGATCTTTCTGCTTCTTTTTCTCTTTTTTATGCTTTTTGTGTTTTTCACTCTGGCTAATAGATATGGAGCTCATGTAGTCTTGAATTGGTTGGTGTAATCTCATAGTTTGGTCATCATCAGAGCTAGGACTATTCTGATGTGACTTTTCAGCAACTGAACTGCTACCTGACTCACTCTCACTGTCTGGATTCATAGGTGTACACCCAGGAGAACGGCTGTGGCTTGGGGAGCTGCGGTCATGTTTTGGTGTAGAACCACTAAATAGAGGTGATGCTTTGTGGCCTGAGTGTTGGGAACGAATGCCACCATCACCAGAACCTTCCCCAGGTTTCTGAAGTGTTACTTTAGATTTAATGCTTGGAGAGCCTCCTTCTGGCTTGCTGATAATAATCTTTGCCACACCAGTACCAGTCATTGTGTTACTTTTGGCATCAATCATCTTTTTGTCACTTGAATTCCCCCCTGATCCAGACATCTTGGATTTCCCATCTTTGTCTATCTTGTCTCGTTTGCTCAAAAACTCACCTCCTTGGGAGGACATAGAATGCTTTGAGGATGTAGGAACAGTATTTTGCTGCCCTACTCCACTTGAACCACCACAACTTTCAATTTCCTCCCCACCATTACCCCCACTTCCCACACTCTTGAGTTTGTCTATGACAGCTGTAAGAGATGGCTTTTTGTTTCGGCTTGGGGACTTACCCTTTGCATTTGGGTTGTTTCCACAGCCACCACCACCCCCTCCACCACTGCAATTTCCACCACTGCTTCCATATTGTGACTGACCATTTGAAGAAAAGGGCATAGAGCCAGATGACGAGGAGCCAGTGGAGGAAGCACAGGATGTAGAAGCGCTGTTGGATGAACTGCTGCTTAATGATTTTGATCCAACTCCACCACCCGAAGAGCACTTATTGCCCCCTGATCCACTGCCTGAGCCAATAGGGGATTTAGCCTTAGAAGAGGGTGGGGTCCCAGGTACTTGGCCTTGTTTCATGGGAGATGACAGCTTGTCAGAACCTCCAGAACGAGAGTGCGAGGGTGATATGTTGGGCTTGATGTTGGGGTTCATGAGTGAGCCAGGGGGCTTACCACCTTGAGGTTTGTTTTTAATTCCACTTCCTGATCCACTGCTGCCACCACCTCCCGAGCTTGACAAACCATGCTTCGTAATAGGAGAAGAAGATGGCTTGCCTGTGCCCATGCCCATGGAAGACACTTTAGATTGAGAAGGTATACCACTTCCAGTACCAGCAGCACTTGATTGTTTTGCAATATTGCCCTGCCCAACAGAACTTTCAAGTTTACTACTTTTTATCTTCCCAGATGAAGAGGAATGATGGCTTTTGCTATTGCTTGTGCCAATTGTATTACCAGTACCACCACTTGTTGAGCTACTAGATGTGTAACCTCCATGAGATGATGTTTTTCCTCCTGTTAAAGCTCTGGGTATTTGTATAGTGATTTTAGGGATTGGTGGAGTAGCACCTCCTGGTGGGGTCTGAGACCTACCTACACTCCCAGGGGACTTAGATCCACCAGTACTTACTAAACCTACAGAAGTGGCACTTCCACAAGGTGGAGTGTAAGGTCGACCCCCTGCACTATGTGAAGGTGACTTAGCATCTGGCTCCAGCTTCTTGCGTTTAGCTGGTTTGTCTTTTGATTTTCCCTCACTTGAAGGAGTACGACTGCGCTTTACCTGCTTCATTTCAGATGAGCATGCACTAACCATTCCTTGTCCAGAACTGCCTCCAACATGATCTTCTTTTGTCCTCATCTGCTGCTGCTTAGCCTTTGCATCTACATTTTTAAAATCATTACCTGCAACAACAATTCCAATAAGTGGACTTTGACCTCCACCAGTATGAGCATGGTGCGAGTCTGCAATATCTGATGCTGGAGCCATTAATGGTTTTCCTCCCCCACCGTTTCCACCAAAAATACCAATTTCAAAAGGGTCTTTTAATGAAGTCTCAGGAGTATTTTGGCCATGTGAGGCAGGATTCTGAGGTGTGCCTGTAGGAGTGTTCTGCTGACTTCCTCCACTGAAACTTTTAACCAATTCAAGATCTGGATCAGGGCTGGGAGAGCTGTCTTCAAAGTAGGTCTGTGAAAAACTTCCCTGCCCAGATAAAAGCTCTGGGTTGAAGTCTGTGTCTGGGAAGAAGTTAGTTGAGGAAGTATCACTATTGGGTGTTGTTGCAGTAGCAGCTTCTGCAATCAAATCTGCTGCATCAGTAAAGGGATTTTCATTACTATTTGTATTAAACAGGTCTGCCTCAAACACTGTACTACCCTGGCCAGAGCTGGAAGAGTCCCGGACTGGGGTTCCCAAGGAACCTCCATCTTCACTAGTCATAAGATGCTGTCCATGACCGATATTGCTTCCTTTGTTGGCTTGATCAGGAATATCAGAAAGAATGTCATTAATATCAGGTCCAATACTGTCAGAGCTGGAGAGGCGGACCATTCGAGGAATGGATCCTTGTGATTGTGACTGGACTTGTATCTGAGGCTGGACATGACATTGTGGGTGGTATTGCATTCCGGGACCTGGAGGTGGTGTTCCACACTGACTTGGAGCTGGAGTGATACTGTGTGGAGTGTCAAGTCCATCACCTGGAAGACTAACATCAAAAATCGGGTTTTGGGAGGCATCTACATCCATAGAAAAAAGCTCTCGGTGGAAATCATCTTCAGAGTGGCTTGTGAGGTGATGATGTTGTGTCATGTCTACCACTTGCTGCTGAGATTGTTTCATACTCATTCCCCCAGCTGCTCCCATTACTCCTTTATCAGAGCCCCTCAGACGCTTTTTTTTGCCCTTGGTCCCAGAGCAAGGCTGGCCTTGGTTGTCAGTCCGTGGAGACCCAGATGAGTTCTGTCTTTCTAGAGGGCTACTGCTGTACAATGCAGCAAAATCCTGTGATGGATTATCCTTCAGTAGGTTCATTAGCATAGGGTGGTTTTTGGTGTTGCTTGCTGGTGAGGTGGTTGTTGGAGGTGTTTGGTGGGGTTGAGGTTGCTGGGGAGTAGGACTGGACCCAACACTGCCTGTTATTTGCAAAAGGCTGGTTAGAATTGGATTCTGAGTGACTTTGTTAAAGTCATCTGACCCATGGCTCTGAGATTGTTGATGTTGCTGCTGCATTGCTTGCTGCTGACCTCCAACCTGTCCCATGGTATCAATGCACGAGCTTCCTTGACCAGTACGTCCCATGTTGAACATTGAGGTGATTGGACCTTGGAAAGATCCATTCCCCCCTACACACACAACACTGTTGTTTCCACTATTTAAAGGGAGACCCATTGGGTTACTTCCATCTGGCCCTGTACCCATTCCCATGTAACCTGGGCTGCCAGTTGGGGGCAAGTTCTTCTTCACCATAATTTCCACTGTTTCAGCTATAAGGGACAACGCTGGTGTGTCTGCCTGAATGGTCTCTGCCTTGCGTCGTATGGCACGCATAGTCACCGGAATAGACATGCATCTAGGAAAGGAAAATAGATGCAACACATAACTTACATGTTAACATTAAAACGGCATTATTAGGAGCATAAATTTTACAACTTTCCAGTAAGTAGGCCTTGTAGGAATATCAATGTCATAAACATACTTTATTTAAAACAATGGTTACAGTTCACAACTAATCGTTTACTAGCAATGTAGGTTGTTTCAACAAAAGTGGTGTTGTCAAAAGTATTTTTTGTTGCAATACCATTTGGGACTGAATTAATTATTTAATGATTTCCCAATAACATTTGAATGCTGTTAAGAAGCTTAAACCATTTAATAATGTTCCTGTGCTCAACACATATAGCTAATTGTCTACAATAATTGCTTCAAACTGTTAACCAATTGCTTACAAAAATGTCAGAAAAGGCATCTATGAAGAAATATATGAGCTATCAACTGATGGAAACCCAGAAATTAATGTTGGAAGGTGCTTTTAAATGCTCCTGTGTCAATGTAGCTGTGCAAGTGCTCAATAAAGAGCACACAGCTATAATTATTGTGGCAAATCATAGACATATTTATTAAAAGTGAATACAATGGCCAATCATGTTTTTTAAAAGTTCGTTCAACAGCGCATTCATAAAATGACAGTATTAAACAGTACTGCAATTAGTACTTTTAACTACTCAAAACAGTAAATAAATGTAAGTGATACTTCTCAATCTACAACATTATGTAAACAGTGTAAATGTATGATCTTTGGATAATTCGGTTTCATTCGGTGCACTGTGAAGACATTTTTGTAACACCTACTTGCAGACCAAACAATTTAAGAGCACATGCACTGCAAAAAATGCTTTTCTTAAGTAGATTTTTTTGTCTTGTTTTTGTCTTGTTTCTAGTCCAAATATCTAAACATTCTTATATCAAGAAACATTTTCTACGCAAGCAAAATATATTGTCTTGTTTTCAGAAATAATATCCCAATATTAAGGGAGTTTTTCCTTGAAACAAGCAAAATAATCTGCCAATGGGGTAAGCAAATTAATCTTGTTTTTCCTTTTGACATAAGATTATTTTGCTTACCCCATTGGCAGATTATTTTGCTTGTTTCAAGGAAAAACTCCCTTAATATTGGGATATTATATCTTAAAACAAGACAGTATGTTTTGCTTGTCTAGAAAATTCTTCTTGATTTAAGAGTTTTTAGATATTTGGACTAGAAATAAGCCGAAAAATCTAAGTAAGAAAAGCATTTTTTGCAGTGTGCTTGCCTTGTCTTGATAATGATATCAGTTGTCAAGCACAAAAATTAAATGGAGCAATGAAAAATATATTTTCAAATATAAATCATTTTATTTAAGTGAGTGACACAATTTTTTTTCTGCATAGTTTTTTTGAGCAAGTTTAGCTATTAATATTATCTTGCTAATAAACAACATAGAACAAATGTAGCATGGAAGAGAGGATCAGGAAAAACTGCAGCAACCTTTACCTTTAAAGACCGGTTTTAACCAAAATGCATAAAGGAATAAACAAATAAATATTCCGAATGCATTCATCATACTTTGTAAGCATTGTGAAAATATACCTTCAAAATTAAATCTTCAGTTTAGTCTCAATTGTACAGCTCTAACACATACGATTTCTGTCCCTTTCCCTCTCATTAATTTACTAAAATAATTGTCTCACACTGTTGATTTGGAAAACCTAAATGCTGGCACACACAAAAGCTAATAGTCGGCCACTGGGCAGCTTCAGGCCAATGGTGAGCGTCTGTCAGGCTATTTAGTCCAGTGTGTTCTGCATGTCGCCTCTTATCAGGTTAATGCTGGAGCGAGTTGAGTTGATTCAGCATGTAGATTCAGTGTTGACTTTTGAACAGGAGCGCTCGGATTGGTTATTTAGCAATGAATCAGAGAGCAAGAACTTAAGTATTAAGACTAAGCAAACAATTCAAGTTGTGAAAAAACACAAAGAAGCCTCAGTAATTTCACTGAACTATCTCTAATGACAATGATTATTAGATTATCTGACTGATTTGCACAAGCGAATCCCTCTGTTGAGGATGACAAACACTGTGAAAATTGAGCTATATGCTACTTTGGTACTAAATGCTGTTTACTGTTTGTATGTGCAGATCACAAGTTCTGATTTCGATTTGTGGAATAAGGAAACACACTGTCCCCCTTGGATCATCTGTTTGGCGTGTTTATGAACCGCTTTTTGGTTCATACTAATCCAAACACAGTCGAAGTAAGGTGCCAACACAGCTGGTTTACATCAGCACTAGTTCTTTGGTGTGGGTTGGTGCGTCTGAGCCTTAATGCAGACTTGTGGATTTTCCATTAGATGCAGTTATGCAAAGTGCCACTTAAAAATTAAACAATGTCATTGGACATTGAAAGCAATAGAAACTACATCAATTTTAAGAAATATTGTAAGTGTAATTACATTATTAAAAAAATGATAATGTCACTACATCAGGAGCTTATAACCTTTTTCACTTTAAAGCCCACCTCATAATCCATTTTTGAAGGTCTAGAGAAAATGCTTATTTTAACATTTTTTTATTGGCAAAACATTTCTTTTGCCTTCTACTATTATTATCATGCTTTTATTATTATATTATTATATATCTCTAAAAATTTAATTCTAAACAACTTGTATATTAAATATGAACACCATCATCAATGTTAGGCGTTTATTCTTTTTGCTTAACAAGGTATAGAAGCCCACACACGCGGTACGGCACATCCGGTGAGTGATCAAAGTCTATTGAATACACAAGACAAGTCACTTGCATAGTTTCGAATGGGGAAAAGGGTAACGGTCAATGTGGCGAATGAAGCCCCACTTACTACTACAGGAGAAAATCATTGATCAATACAGACTGACGTTTCTCCAGGGGTGAAGCTCAGACCAGATGTGTGCTTTTATGACCATTTTTGTGGTCAACAAATGCACTGGCACCTTAGGGAATACTTGCTTCAATTACAGATATTAGAAATATTTCCAAATAAAGCTTGAAAACTGTACTTTTAAATAAACCAAGTGTACTTGAAATGAACCAAGAAAATGTTTTTTTTTTTAATGATCGTTTAACTGTTATTTGTAAACAAAGTTTTGTCAATGACCCACGTGTAATCTTTCTATTTGTCTTGTATATCCATGGCCAGCGGTGGCTTGCCTGCAGCTGTTATGTTGTATACATCTACAAGTCTTCTATCCAAGTTTTAGAAATAAAAACAAATAATAACTTGACTTTTTTGCCCTCTCCTGTGGTTTGTAATGTAATGGGCAGCACAAACTTCTTGATACCCATGGCTGTTGATTTTGCCATCCACACTGCAGATCTCTTGCACACCCCTTATCCTGAATTTAACCCCAAATCATGATTTTTCCTTCACCAAACTTCTCAAACACTGGGTCCATGAAGGTTACAAAAGGTCTTCTGCAGTGTTTACGATGATTGAGGGCACACTCACACTATGTTATTCGAACCATTCCCAGGCCCGTTTCTCGGATCGTTTGAGAAGTGTGAGTGCTCTGAATTGGGCTCAGGCGCCCGATTCAGAGGTGTGCCAGAGCGAGGTTTACTTGGGCTTTGTTATGGAATGCTTGTAGTGGGAGTGAAAAGTGTGCCTGAGCCTAAAACTGAAAACGAGACATGACTTTTGGGGGACTGATTCATATGGATTTTTTAACCATTCTTACTGTTCAATGAACGCGAACTGTTGTAGTTTATTAAAGCTTGACATCTGCAACTTTATCAAACCTTTTAATTCCTGCAGCATGAGGACTTTATGATTGTTAATGAGTGTCAAAGTTGGCTTATCTGTTTTCAAAATATTTGATGGGAGAAGGGACAAGCATGCGTCCGTCCGGTTTAAGGCTGTACATAGTGTAAGTTGCAGATCAACAGACAATTTATCTGAAAAAAATAAATAAAAAATCTACCTTCTGCCACATTTCCAAAATGATCAACTAGAAGTCAAGTTGTAAATTTGTTGCTCTTAAAACTGGGATCGACTACAAGACTTTTGTCAGGTTGTGAATAGTGCAGCAATATTTAAAACACGGTAATTTTACTCCCTCTTTGGAAAGAAATATAATACTCACCTTTGGACTACTTTAGTAATGAAGTCATCAGTGCAGATCAAAGCATCAGATAAACCCTTGTAGAGTTTGCAGGCTACCTGCATCGAATCAATGACCTCCATCACCACTGAAAAGAAAGAATTAACAAAAGTATAAACCATAGTAATTTATGCTTTGTTTACACTGTAGGAGAACAGAAATTTAAGGTTCAAAGTTTTTCCTTACCACAAACAAGTGACTCATTTACAGGGTGTTGAAAGGACACACTAAAGCTTGAGTCTGTTAGTGGGCACACTTCAAACTGCAGCAGTCCAGGAGTATCTGCTAAAACATATGATACACTTTAAACAACAATGCATACCCTTTACTACTGATTTATTACCTGCATATAAACTGGCAATTAGCACATATAAAGTTGTATCTTACTTTACATCCCTAATCCTATCCAATACTAACACATTTATCCTATTCGATACCGTACACACCATTTTTTTGTTTGTTTGTTTTTTATCTCCTGAACAGCTTTAACAAAATTAATGAAATCCAAAACTATAGATCCGGGTGCATATTCAACTTTTAACTACTGTTATAAAACTTGGTATGTTTTCAAGGCAGTAGAGACTTTCTGAATTCCTTTACTTGGAAGATTATTATTATCACAAATAGATTCATCATTTTCAAAATTCTTCCATTTTTGTGGGTAAAAGATGCCAGAGTACGAACCCACCAATACCAAAAAGAAATTTCAGAATTTGCAGAATTTTTAAAAATGCTTTATTTTTGCAGGTCAAAATTCCTGGAGAAGTGGTAAAGCCGTGTGTAAGCATAACAAAACTTATCTGTTTAAAAACAATAATTTTTTTCAACATTTTTTACTTTAAAAATCTGTTATTGTTGATTTTTTTTTACCTTTACTTGCCCCACTTTATATTAGGTGGCCTTAGCTAATGCACACTTACACTGAAAATAACCATTTGTTACAATGTACTTTTTTTTTTTTATAAATACATGTTTTTACATTGTACTTATGATTTATTAGATGTAATTTTAATTAGATCTGTAATTACATATGTAATTTCACTGTTGACCATTTCTTACAACCTTAACCTACCCCATATCACCAAATCTGTCCCTAACCATATCCCACCTTAAGAGCAACAGAAATGCTCTGCAAGAAATTATAAACACAGTACGTACATTGTATTTATTTCTGATGCAAGTATATATTATTTCAGGCCACATAATATAAAGTTGGAATGCTTTCCTGCATGCTTTCTTTTTTTTTTTGCAGTCCTCTATACCTACTGAGAAATAATCAAAGTTTTAATACTCTGGAATTTAATGCAGTTGTTAAATTCCTTTTAAGTTCACAGTTCCAGTGGAATTAACATCTAACATTTCAAAAAGTGGGAAGTACATGCAAATTCACAACACTCATCGCACACAACAGAAAATTATAGCAAAAAAATGTAAAGTAAATGTTGTTTCAAAATGCACTTACATCATTTTTGTTACACATGTACTTTAATTGTGGTTTTCAATTTTAAAGCACAAAGAATACAATAATGTGAGTGACAAGCAAAAAAACATACACAGAAAAAGAAACACAAAAAATAATAATGAAACTTGAAAATCACTAAATAAAACACCTTCAATTAAATGTAGTAATGCAGATAACCACAACAGGTCAAACTTTATAAAAACTACACATTATGGTTCATTTATTAAAGGTTGAAGAAACCCTTGAGTAATTTTTGAGATTTTAACAGGTTTGTTTGTTGAGCATCAATTTAGTTAAAGTTATCTCCTGTTAGCTTTAATTGTGGCAAAAACTGGATAATTTGAACCTTTTGTCAGGTAATTTCATCTTCCGGGTTTAAAATAATTTTTGGGACAGGATCAAAAAAATAAAATAAAATAAATCGGTGACATAGCGCTATGTGCCTTTCCAGAGATGACGCGTCAGTTTCTCATTATTATTCACAGACAGAGTTTTCCAATCCTATGAGTAGAGCCTGCTTCTTAAATATTCGTGACTGCGCGTGCTTTTCGATGATAGACCCATACGGACAGACCTGCCATGCTGTGAGACAGCACACGGCATGCAGTATTTAGGTGGTTGTGAAATGTCACACGTTGTTTCCATGATCTACAGGGTTTGTTGAATGGTTTTCCCCCCGCAATCCTGTCAAGGGCTACAGATACAGGCAAGTTGTGTGTGCAGAAAGCATTTTTGTCAAAACAGTGTATACGAATTGGAGACTGGCAGACTTTGTCTTTTATTAGTTGAGCGTGTTACATTCAGATACATCGCCGTGCAGTTGTGTTCACACGTTTAAAATCTTCTAGATTACCGGCAGGGCTAAGGGTTAGAACAGAAAGAGAAAGAGACCTGCTGTACTGCTGTCACTGTTTCTGCATTCAAAACCAGGGTTAAGGAGGAGAGAAGTTCTCCTCATTTATATTGCAAACATGATTATCTTTATAATGATATAACAAATTGTGGTTATGTTTATATATAATATAAAATTACAAATAGCCTATCATATCTGTAACATGGCAATAAATTGCTGTTTATTTTTTTGCATTTTTATTTTGTTAACTATAAAAATCATGCATCTTCTCACGTTTTGTGTGAGATTTTTTTTCGTCTTGAACTGGTGAGCTAACTTACAGTTGTTTGCCCCCATCTTCTTTAATATAATTTATTTAATAATTAAAATGCTTATGTGTTGTTGTCATTACGGGACAGCGTGGAGGAGAAAGAGAGAGGTGAGGAAACATGGCGAGAGGCGCACCATGTGTGTGACCTGGTTTCGAAAAAAAACACAACGGCAGCAATTTGGGCGTATTTTGGGATTCGACCGAACAAGAAGGGAGAGGTGGTGAATACGGAGGATGCAATCTGCAAATTGTGCTACAAAAAAGTGATCGCGAGGGATGGAAATACCTCGAACCTAAGGTCGCATTTGCGAATTCACCATCCACTCACGGCTGCAAGGATGGACCAAAGTGTCAGTGCAACAGTTTCAACATCTACCGGTGCAGGAGCAACAACATCGAGGTCCACCACTAGAATGCAGCCGACGATAATGGGGGCCTTCAGCGAAACAATACAGTACAAAAGGGACAGTGTTCGTTGGAAAAAACTAAATACTTGTCTCTTTCCACACTGTAGAAAAAAAAAATCATTAAAGGACATGGTAAAGGTCCTAGATGCCCAGTATGAGCTGCCTGGACGGAAATATTTCTCACAAACAGCCGTCCCACAATTATATAGTAAAGTTAGAGACAATATATAGTAACATGACACCATATATGTCTCTGACTGTCCATATTATTACACCTGACTGGAAACTTGAATCTAAATGTCTCCAAACTATGTATTTTCCAAAGAGTCATACGGCAAAAAATCTTGCTGCAGCGCTCAGAGCTGCACTTCAAGAATGGCAACTTGACGAGAAAAAACTCTCAGCCAGAACCACTGACAACGCTGCCAACATTCATGCCGCAATCAGGTCCCTGCATTGGCCATGGCTTAACTGCTTTGGTCACAATCTAAACTTGGCTGTCACAAATGGATTGCACGACCAGAAGCAAAAAACGATCGCACCCTCGGACTATGAAGTAATATTGTCGGGGCCTTTTCACACAGCTGGCAATGTAAGCATGAACTCCACAAGAAGCAAGTGGACTTGGGACTCCTAAAACATAGTCTCGTAACGCTAAGCATAAAACGAGAGTTCCTCAGGGGAAAGGGCTTAAATAAAAAAAATAAATAAATAAATAAAATAAATTATTAAATAAATAAAATATATTGAAAAGTAAAAAGTAGGCTATATTAAAATAGAAAAACATGTTTTTAATAGTTTTTTTTTTCTGGGACTTATTTAGTCTAAGAAATGTGCATGCAATTTTAACTAAATATAATAATTTACATTAATGGACGTATTTATTTATTCATTTATTTAGGCCAATTTATTCATTTATCCGTTAAACTAATAAATAGGCCTAAATAGGTAAATTTTGTTTATTTTAGGCCTATTTATTCATTCATACGTCTATGTAGGCCTATTTATTCATTCATTTTTTTATTAAGGCCTATTTATTCATTTATTCTTTTATTTAAGCCTATTTATTCTTTTATTTAAGCCTATTTTTTAGTTTATTCATTTATTTAAGCCTATTTATTTGTGTATTTAAGCCTATTTGTTTGTTTATTTAAGCCTATTTATTAGTTTATATAAGCCTATTTATTTATTCGTTTATTTAAGCCTATTCGTTTATTTAAGCCTATTTATTAGTTTATTTAAGCCTACTTATTGGTTTAAGCCTATTTATTAATTCATTCGTTGATAAGCCTTTTTATTCATTCATTCATTTATTTAAGCCTATTTATTAATTTATTTGTTTATTTAAGCCTATTTATTCGTTAATTTAAGCCAATTTATTAAGTTATTCGTTTATTGAAGCCTATTTATTCGTTTATTTAAGCCTATTTATTAATTTATTTGTTTATTTAAGCCTGTTTATTTAAGCCTATTTATTAATTTATTTGTTTATTTAAGCCTATTTATTCGTTTATTTAAGCCTATTTATTAATTTATAAGTTTATTTAAGCCTATTTATTAGTTTATTCGTTGATGAGCCTTTTTATTCATTCATTCGTTTATTTAAGCCTATTTATTAATTTATTTGTTTATTTAAGCCTATTTATTAATTAATTTAAGCCTATTTATTAAGTTATTTGTTTATTTAAGCCTATTTATCACTTTATTTAAGCCTATTTATTTGTTTATTTAGGCTAATTCATTTATTTGTTAAACGGATAAGTGGAAAAATACGCCTAAATGCATGACTTTTGTTTATTTAGACCTACTCATTAATTATTTAGTTCATTTATGCCAATTTATTCATTTCTTTATTTAGGCCAATTCATTAATTTAATCGTTTATTCATTCATTAATTCATCCATCCATCCGTCGGCAAGACTGCGCAACTCGCTGGGGCTCCAAACTGGCAATGGTGGAGCGCATCCTCGAGTGGGCCCAAGCGATCAGACACGTCCTGTCTGATGATAGAAGGAGCAGCCTGTCCCTGACCTGGCAGGACATGGACGTCTTGAAAGCTATTCACAAAGCACTGAAACCAGTCGGTGGCTTCACTGATATTTTTTCAGGAGAAAATTATTTGACCAGTTCCTGTATCCTCGCCATACTACAGCTCTGCAGGGACTGTTTTGGTTGCGTCAGAAAATGACTGTCAGTTAACAAAGTCAATCAAAACTGGAATTCTAACAAAGCTGGAGGCCAAGTATGAATCCAGTTCAGTGCGCAAAATATTGTGAAAATGCACTTTCCTCGACCCTCGTTACCACGGAGGATATGAGGCAGATGACAATGCATTGGCTGAGACAAAGGCTGAATTACAGGCTGAGATCGTCAGCTTAGAGGCAGCAGGTCCACTGGCCATAAGAGTGGAAGAGGGAGAGGCGCAACCAGAACCCTCACAAAAAAAAAATGACTCTGGGAAGTATGCTGCAAAAAAAACCTGATGCAATGGCAGATGCCGTCGGCAGCGGCACCGTAGAAAACAGAGTCGGAGCTGAAATAACAGCCTACTGTTTGGAGCCAGTTACTCAAGGAGACGAGGACCCACTTCTCTGGTGAAAATATGCTGCCGGGCGTTTTCCCCAGATGTCACAAGTGGCATGAAAATACCTGTGCGTCTGTGCCACAAGCACACCATCGGAGCGGGTTTTCAGCACCGCAGGTAAAGTTGTCGGTCCACAACGTGCCCTGTTAAAGCCCGACAAAGTAAACATGCTGGTTTTACTAGCGAATGCCAATTGCCATTTGTTTCTATTAGCATTGTTTAATTTTATTTGTTTAATTAATTCAGGTATTTTTATTTGCTTTACGTTAAAAATTATATTAGAAGACTGGAAATAAGTTTTTGTTTAGGACTATTGCTCTGCAATACTTTTTATAATAAGGTTGATGTTTATGTTAGAATAATTCATCTCTGGTTGACTGTTGTGTTCTATTTGCATATTTTATAAGCTGCTCTTCTTTGTTAATAAAAGTTCTGGCGGTTTGATTTAATTGATTTGTGCGCGCGTTTCTGCGCGAAAATGGTTCTATACGTTTATGTTTATTTAATTCTGTTTGACTGTTGTATTTGCACTTTGTTGCTAATAAAAGATGTTTACATTGTTGTTAATATTGTTGTACATGTTATTTTGTTATTGTTTTATTGTTTGGTATTCGTTTCTAAACGGCTTAGGCACAAGCCAACAGTTTTGGTGACGTTGTCTGAGCCTTACATCATAATTTTTTAATTATTCACGGTAATACCGGATAGCGAGGTAAAATAGGGAGGCGGTTTGACGGTATCAAAATTTGGATACCGCCCAAGCCTATCATGGAGCATTTATTTGAACACATACTAAGGTAAACTTAAACTGAAAGAGGGAGGGGGGTTTTATGATCCTAAATGAGTTAAATTAGTATTTGCAAACAGTCAGTTTATAAATGGTTAGGCATTAACTCTACATTAATAGATGTTAGTAAGCAGTTTATCTATAATTGCTGTATTCTTGGCTTATAAGCACATGCCTTGCCTTATAAGTCTGGCAATAGTGAATGTGTACATACTTTTAAGACAATTTGTCCAGTCATATCCAGAAACTTTAATATATGATGTTTTTTTTTATACCAGTTGTTGTAATTTTATTTGAGTGTTAAATTCTTATATTTCTTTGAGATTTCTAGAGATATTTACAAATAAATATATTTTAAACTATTTGTGGCTATTTTAAATAGGTAAATTTATTTATACATTTAAATCAATAATATTAGTCACTGTGAAAATGTATTTATTTTTTGCCAGTTTAATGAGTATCCAGAGAATTTTCCAGATGTTTCTTAAATAGCTATTAACAGAGGTGCAGATTGTTTGGGGTTATAGAGAATAGAGATATAAAATAATATCATCTGAATGAAGAGAAATACTATGGTTCATTTGACCTATTTTTTGGGGCAAAATCAAGGGATTCTTTTTTGATAGCAAGGGTGAGGGGCTCAATTTTAAAAAGCAGTGATGAAAGAGCACAACAGGTGCCTCTATGTGACTGGAACTGAGATGATCAAGTAAAAAGAAAATCCTTACCCAAAAAAATGCATATGTCACCCAAATTAGACTCTCTAATCACATCACAAGATATAGTCGCACTCCATTTGGTCAAATGCTTTTTTTGCAACCAATGCAAGAATTGAAAGACTGATTTTAGAATCAGATTTGGTGTACAAAATACTTATCTGCCTGACATTAAAAAAAATAAAAGAAAGAAGAGAACATAAAAGAAAAACAACCAGGAAAAAATCCAGATTGGTCAGGATGAATATTTTTTCCTAAGCAATAGTTTAATCTATTAGCAAGTATTTTTTTTATTATTATTATTTTTTAGAATTAAATAAATGTTTGCCGCATGAAAGGGATTCGGGGAGCCTATGCTCATTAAATTAATGGTTAAGTATCCTTAACAGCAAAGGGGATTTTTTTAATGAAAAATTTATACTAAAGCCATCTGGGCCAGGTCATGTAAGATTTGTTAAAGGAATATCAGCCCTGTTTTTAATTTTTTTTATGGATAGCACTAGTGGCTTGAATTACCATAAGCTTACAAGAAAGCAATTTTTAAGGTGTATCCCCAATTTCAAATTGCTTTTGTTTAACTTGTAACAACATATTGTTAACTTGGTTAGAAAGAATTAAATTATATTCCACTTTGAGTGTAGTAATTTCTTTAAACCTATCCAAATCTAAAGAACCCCTGTATATATCTAACCGGTTATCAAATTCTACAAGACGTTTTCCCTTTGTTTCTTAAAACTGGACTCATAAGATACGTTTCATCTTAGAACTGCTTTTAAGCTTTCACATAACAATAAACTGGGAACCTCACCGATGTCATTGAATTTAAGAAACTCAGCAAGCAGCTCTGTTAAATACAAAGCCAGGCTTAATTTTGGCTAGATCTACAGAGATTGTGACTGCAGAATGGTCAGACATTGATGTATTATGATGTTTCATTCTTTTAACACAAGGAATAGTTTTGGACTAAACTAAAAAAAAAGTCTATCCTGGAATATGATTTTTGGACATGTGAAAAGAAAATATACTGTTTGTCCAACGGGTATCTTAATCTCCAGATATTAGCAAGAACCAAGCAGTAAATGAGATCTTAGAAAACAACAGTAAAATTAGAAAGAGGTATCTGAACATAATGGAAAACTGTCAACGGCAGGATCTAAAACAAAGATAATAAAAAAAATAAAAATAAAATCACAGCCAATAATCCAATTTGAATTTAGTGTAGTTGGTCAAAGATCAATGATATTGCTAAAAATTCACACACATAGACCTCATCAACTCAAGCAACATCCACACTCAAGGCCATATTCTAACGATGTGTTCACACAAGATGCAGATCAGATGAAGAGTTAAGCATTTAATTCAATCAAATGACACAACGGAAACTGAGCATTTCAGTGTTTGGTCCTCTTAACGTGTAATTCCCACAAATCTCTCAAGTTCACGCCATGTTAACCAATCACGCCGTGTTACCCAATCAGGAGCTTACTCTAGTAGTGGTGCGATTATGAAGTACTGCCTGTAGTTGGTGTCCTGAAGGAAAATCCTCCTACCGACACGAGACAACAGGTCATCAAACTGGTAACGGCTTGGTCAAAAGTGTTATGATTAACTCTTCTGTCAGTGTGTAGTCAGCACTGCCATAGAGATGGCTCCCTCACCCCAATCAGCACACCACTTGTGCCGATCAGGGGACTGCTGCAGCTCACTGAAAGAGGAGTACACAACTGATGCTGTTGAGGCAGATGGCCGGCATGATTTCATAATGAATCCTCTCCCATCCCGACCCTTGAACGGTACCTCACTACGCATGAATCCTGGACTTTCTGCACTGAACGCACCACCCTATACTTCCCCGCGCACATAAATAGCATATAATGTATGTATCATCATTACAAAAACTGGCAAAGACTAGGCTATAGCCTCTTTCACACATACAGAGGTTGTATGTGTGAACAGGTCCTTTTTGAAAATACCGGTAAATTCGTTCTGGCTATTTTCCGGAAAGAGAAGTTTTAACATTACCGGCAATTTGCCGGAATGCTGCGCTGTGTGAATGCAGAAGGAAGATTCACGTAATAAGCGCGTGCACGTCTAGAGCGTGCTGACGTGAGACGTCTGCTTTAGCCAATCACAACAGTCAGACGCATTTACGTCCGCGCGGTTTGTGAGGATAAAAGCCTTTGAATATTTTTCCAGACACATTTAGCTGCTAGAAGTTAGTCAGATCACGTTTATATGTTCTTCTTAATGCCAACTGTGTAAATAATCATCGATGAAATGCTTATGATAAGCCGTTGTTTGTTTACCTTCAAGCTTTGCGTGCGCCTATGAGCGCCTGCACACGCACATATTATGAACATCTTGATAAACGAAAGTGATCCTGCGAAAGTTGTTCACAATATTGATCATCCACAGAGTTTGTAATTTAGTCAAATGTTTACAAATACAAGTGCAGCCATTTAAAGCTCATTTGTGGTGAATGATGTCAGAATTTACCGGTATTTTGGAATGGATGCGTGAATGCTCTTTTCCGGAAATTTTCCAGAAATTTACCGGTATCACTGTGTGAAAGGGGCTAATATCCTTAATCCAATGACGGAAACTAACAAAATCGTATGTGGTTACCTTGTTTAGCTCGATACATTTCTTGAAAAGTACACTGCAAATTCAGAAAGCGCAGGGTTTTTGCAATGTGCAAAAATGGCTATACAGATTAAAAAAGTGCAAATAGAAGTTTTCTTTTGCAAACACCTACAGTCACACATAGTATGAAAGAAACCCACCTTCCTTAATGCAGGCCTTTTTAACGCAACTGCCAATCAACGTGTTGTAAGCAGCCTGATGTCTTATAATGTCAAGGAGAGCAGGCACCTGAGCAGGATGTCTGAAGGGAATCTTGGAAACCAAAGCTCCTTGAAGAGACCTTCCATCTTGTACTGGAGCATCACCATTTAGGAAATAACAGTGCTGCTGTCCTGGTAAAGACTAATTAAATAAAAAGACAATTCATGGAAAAGGTTAAAATGATGTACCATTTTTAATGTCACGGGATTCAAAATATGACAAAACATAATATGTGTGCAGTTTTAATTGACTGTTTAATTGACTGGAAGCATGTTCTATTCAGAATAAATTGGCAGTTGATAAATCGGTTTAGATGATGAAAGACTTAGTCCTTAGTCTCTGATAAGTTTTTATTTATACTGTGATTTTGTCTCGGATTTAATCAACTTGCTTTATCTCTAAAAATGGAGCAAACCACCTATTAAAAAAACAAATGTAAAATTAAAATAATGGTTTACTTGTAGCTAGAGGTGGGTGACGATTCTACTTTACTGTGTAGGATGTAATTTCATGGTAACAATATATTTCACAATATAGTTTAACATAGTATTTAAATAAGTAGCAATTTAGGAAAATCAACAGGAAAGGTTTTATATTATAAATAAATGAATACATCAGAAATGAAAGGAACTTCATTACTATTTCCATTGTATGTGGACTATAGTAAATAGATTAGATTATAGTAAACTAAATTTGGAATATAGTTACAATTCACAGTTTTGTGGACAAACCATAAATTACAATATTTTCTAAACAAATACCACTTTAATAAAAAAGAATAATCGTAGATATTAAAATAGAACTATGTAAACAAAAAGCATTTCACCAAACTTCTAGCATTTTCCTCACTCATACACAGTACCTTGTTCAGGTTCACTTACTCTACACATGAGTGAGTCATATATATATAAATATATGCATGTGTGTGTGTATGTGTGTGTGTGTGTGTGTGTGAGTGCGTGTATAATTTCATTAGCCAATGCATAAAGTAATATTCCTAAAGCATATTTAACTTTATTTAATATTTAATTGATATGGTACTTTTAATATGATTTGTATATTTATTATGAAATGTAAATCGTGAAAAATACAACCATAGCTTCCGCAGTATTATAAGTAACTTTATACGTACAGATACTCCCTTACCAGAGAAGTGGTAAAAGGTAGACAAAAAAATACATTTAAATACAAGGTGCGACTAGGAATGTCTTATTTGTCCACCTGTGATCGGATTGATTAAATTGCATCTTAATAGCAGGTATGAATAGTGTGTGTGTGTGTGTAGACTATTTACATGAAAAATTATAATACTTTTAAAGCGGTTGACAAGAAATTGATACAGATTTTAGTAAAAAAAAAAAAAAAAAAACTAAACAATTCAAACATAAAAATAAACGAAAAAAATCTGAAACTTTAGTTGTGTAATAACAATTGGATGACAATTAGAAAATACTGATCTTTGTCCTTGTATAAAGACATTTTCTGATAATGACAAGACTTTATTTGTTCTGTAGATCTCTTCTATGAACTCAGATCTTTTTTTCTTATTTTCAATCGGATTCAAGTCTGCTGATTGGCTTGGCATTTCTAGCAACTTTATTTTCTTTTCTGAAACTAATTGAGAATTTCGTTGGGTCTGTTTGGGGTCATTGTCTTGCTGAAATATATGCGCATCAACACCAATGGGTAAGAATAACACAATGCTAATTCCAGACTGAGATCTCATCTGCTCCTATAGAGGAATGTAGTAAAGAATGAGGTGATTACCATGGCCAATTCCGTGTACTTAAAAGGCCACCCTATGACATGATAATTGCAGATTTGCTTAATTGTTTTTTGTTTTTTTATTATGCAGCCCCAATTTTGGTTGAAAATGTATTCCACAATAACAATACATGGCTTCATATCACTCAGCCCTACTTGTAGCTGTTATAATGTAGTCACAGAGAGAGCTCTTTGATTAGGATTCTTGACGCACTAACATCAATGGTAAAGAACTGTGCTACACTAAATTCAACTGTCCACACTAAGACCTCTGGTCAGATTTACTTATTATACACATACATATAAATACACATTTATTACTAGCCAAGTAAACAAAAAATAAAAGTCTAATAACATTAGCCCATCAAATGTGGCTTTTGTTTTATCTGGTCTAAATATAATAGGCCAGTTTTAACACTGCAGATTCATATTAAATCACTTTAAATCTTGCAAATAATTACTTAAACAAAAACCTCAATGGACAAAAAAAAAAGTGTTACTCACTGCATAAAAACGCATTGATTGAGCCGAAGGGGGGCTGGCACCTCCCTCCTCACGGAGTTGACTCTTAATGATGAGATCATATAGTGGGGACAAGGTGGGCGCAGTTTCAAAGACAGGAATGCCTAAAAAGATTTTTTTTAAAAAATTGACAGTAGAACTACATTAATGAAATCTTAACTAATCAAAAATGCATTTACCACAATAATACGTATAAAAATATTCCACTGTAGTCATTGCAGATTTTTAGTTTTTTTGTTGTTGTTGTTCAGCAGTTCTACACATGGGATTTTAAACAAGACTGTAGACATACCTGTAGTACTGCCCATTTTTTTAATGTATGATAAAGAAAATGGCATCAAGCAGTTCATCTTCAGGAAGAAACACGCTGGCAAATCTACACAGTTTGAATTTGTTATGGAAGAAAATGATGGAGTTCTAGAGAAAAAAAAAAAAATGTATATATATATATTTATGATGTGACACCAACACAAATTGTTTTTAGATTTATACAAAACCATTAACAGAATTTTCCCACAGAAAAATTTAACCCCACAATTTTCATTGAATTTCTAGTAAATCTTACCCTTTGTTGTCAACTGGATGGGATCCTGTGATTAGTGGAGCAATGGGAAGCTTGTAAACTGATGTTGTGCCTTCAACAGTCACTGACACACTCACACCTAACGTATGGGGGACTGTAAGATGCAAGAGGGAGCAGTAACAGTAAGCAGTACTTTTTTTCAAATATTTAGTTATTTTTAATACATTTTCTGTTTAACTGTTATAGTGGCAATACTAATAATTTAAAAAAAAAATCTTACTATTGACATCAGTGTTCAGATGGGCTGCTTTTTCCTCCTCAAAGATGTCATTTGGAGAAACATAACACTGCAGAGATACTAAATGGCCACCACTCCTCGACGTCAACAGACCCACACTTCCGTGAAGTATGGTCTCCACAGTGTTAGCATTAGTGGCAATCCTATGGTAGAAAATTATTTATAATAATTATACTCTTATAAACAATACAGTAGTTTTCTTATGTACATCATGTCAGTGCTCAATCTGTGCCAACGAATGCTATTAATTACTGAGGGTGAAACTAACATAGGTGAAAATTCATGGAATTCAGTTTATTACATATTGTAATGCAGTACACCATTTGCTGAATTATTAAGTAATTGTGCATTTAAAATATGGAACTGTATGTGTAGTTGTCATACCATCATTTTTATGCATCATTTTTGCAACACATCTTTTTCTTGTGTATTAATCTTCTGTCTAGTAAAACTCTTAAAATTAATGTTTTAACAATACTGCAGTTAAACAAGATACTAATACTAATTCCCGTCTGTTTTCTTCACACACACACACACACACACACACACACACACACACACACACACACACACACACACACACACACACACACACACACACACACACACATTTATGTCCATAAATATTTGTACATAAACACAAATGTAACATTTTTGGCTCTATACACAGACAATCAATTTAAGATGAAAAAAAAAAACAAGATGTGCTTTAGCTGCAGACTAGCAGCTTTAATTTGAGGGTATGTACATCCAAAACAGGTGACAGTAGACTGTTCTAAAAGTCTAAAATGGGCATATTCTGGAGGCTTTAATAAATTATCTGATGGGTATTTTGAGCTGAAAAATGTACTGACACATTCTAAAGAAGCCAAAGACTTATCTTACGTCTTGTAAAATAGGTGCCCCCTTTGAGGAATTTTAAAACAAAATTTAAATCTACAAGGCTGTTTGAAAAATGTTTGTCTGCCCTGTTAAAACATAACTCTGGTTCATCACACTTGAGTTTCATTTCTCCAAATCACACCTGCATACTGCCACAACGGTTAGCAATAAAAAAATCACTTAAATAGGAACTGCCTGACAAAGTGAAGTAGACCAAAAGATCCTCAAAAGCTAGATAACGTGCTGAGATCCAAAGAAATTCAAAAACAAATAGGAAAATAATAGAGATCTACCAGTCCGGAAAAGATTATACAGCCATTTCTTAAGTGCTGCATCGTCTACAAACGACAAAAACATGCAACAGTGGAAAACCCTGCCAGGAATGGCTGGCTGACCAAAATTACCCCAAAGGTGCAGAAACACCTCATCCAAGAGCTCGCTCAGTTAAGTTCAGTATTCATGACGCTACCATAAGATAGAGCCTGGGCAAAAGTGGCTTTCATGGCAGAGTTCCAAGACAAAAACCACTGATGATAAAGACTTTTGGGTAAAAGCTCCATGAAGTGACAAGAAAAAAAAGTTAAACCGTTTGGAAGGCGGGTGTCCCATTATGTGTAGTGTATATTTAACACCTAACACCTAAAGAAGGCATTGTGGCATGGGGATCCTTTGTTGCTTCAGGACCTGGCAGATTTGCTGTGATAAATGAAACCATGAAATATGCTGTGTACCAAAATATCCTGAAGAAGAACAGCTGGTCATCTGTTAGTGACCTCAAGCTGAAGCGAACTTGGGTTCTGTAGCAGGACAATGATACAAAGTAACTGTGATGGCCCAAACAGTTATTACGCTTAAAGGGCAAACACTTTCACACAGGACTTTGTATTTTTTAATTATTATTTAGTTATCCATCAATAATAAAAACTTTAATTTCAAAACTACATGTGTTATCTTTTTCTAACAGATTGTAAAGCTAATATTAAATATAGGATGACTAAATTCATATAAATAGGTCTTGGTTATTGTACCCAAAAACCTCTTGTGCTAAAAAATCCTTGATGGATTTTTTGTTCAGTACTCCTCTTCATTCAAAACTTTTGAAATGTTTTTTGACTGCTGCCTGTCATTTAAATGCCACGTTACAAGCATTTGTAAAACTGCATTTTTTCACCTTATAATTGTTGCTAAACAATGATATGCTAACAATGTCTAATGCTGAAAAGCTTATTCATGCCATTATGATCCCTTGTTTAGACTATTGTAATGCATTACTAGGTGGTTGCATTGTAGGCATAAAATACAAACTTCAGCTGGTTTAAAATACAGCTGCTCTCTAGAACAAAGAATTATTATCATATTACTTCAGTTCTTACATCATTGCATTGGCTCCCTAAATATCAATTTATAAATTTTAATGACTACCTACAAAGCCTAGAATGGCTTAGTTTCCCAATGTTTGAGTAAGATTGTGGTTGATTACAGCCCCTCAAATCCACTACACCCAATTAAATCTAGACAACTGATCTACAAAATCAACTTAAACAACAAAATCTACTGTGGGCAGTGGATCCTTTTTATATCTGGCACCTAAACTCTGAAACAATCTTCAACTCTTCAAACCTTGAACAAAATAACCATTTTGTTAGTTTGTTTCTCCTTATCCTGAGGTGTACAAAATTGTCAATACGACCTGTATCCTAAACAGATGGCTCTTGTGGTCATGGATTAGTTGGGGTGTGAGACTGATTCCTGCAAAGACCCCAGTGACAAAAAAAGTCTCTGCATTGATCCTTGAAAATTGCTCTTTTTTTATTTGGCTACTAATGGCTAGGCCGGAGATCACTGCAGATCGGAGCACTGGTGAGATGCCCTGTGCGGAAAAAAAAATCTTCCAACTCATGGACAATTTCTGGCCAATGTTGCAGGTTGTGAGGAATGCAAGGCCTGCCAGGGATATGGTAGCATCAAGAAGGCAGACATTGTCAATGTCTCGCATCTCTGACAGCTTCAGCAAGAAGTGGCATTCCTGGATCACAAGTGTCCCCATCGTTATCCCCATGGCAAAGGCAGCTGACTTGTTGTTCAACACAGTAAAGTAAGTTGCTGTGCATTATGAAGCCTGGGAAGGACCAAGCTTGTGGAGTTCAGCCAAGACTTGCACTTGGTAATATTGACTGGTATTTATGGTATAGTCAGCAGTGGTGTGGACAGCAGTGTAGGCTTTGGCCATGAGGGACACCCAAAAGCTACACTCTTTGGACAAGAGGTTTTGTTTACCCCTCCAGATGGCAGCGATTTGCAAGCTATGGGGTGCCCGAGAACTGGGTGGAAAAAAGACACCCTCCATGACTGTATAAGTTCTTCATACACATGCAGGAAAGGGGTGGAGGGGTTTACCCCTTTCTATTTGATCACAACCTGCACCCATCTAATCAGTTTAGCTGCTGAGAGGGAGGGATTGCCACATCCAAGGTGATGGTGGTTTGTGGACTGCTTGCAATCACATTCAGTCTCCTGGGGAAAAACCACCTCCAACCCAACCACCATGGCGACCTAGGAAGATATAGTTATCATGGAGGGCAGAAGGTGAATCCAGACTCTCCTCAAAACATGACAACTCACCCTTCAATGCTGTAATTGACATCTGCTCACTGAAGTCATCGAATGAGAGTGTGCTTACCCGTAAGGATGAACCAATACATCCATCCAAAACGTGTAAGGGGTAAAAGGAGTAGGAGGTCATCTGACAGTTTACTTGATAAATAACCCCCAATGTAATTTTGCAATCTACCAGCAAAGGGGGATCAAGCTCATACATTTTCAGAGTAAATGGTTATCTAGCGATTTTAATCTACTATTATTATTATTGGACATTTTGGAAGTATTGTATGGAATTCAAAATTCAAATTGTGTTCCTTGATTGGTTTCTTGACACACAATCCACCACCATTTGCTAAATCTTTCTTGCCATCTACCATAATTCTGCAAAGTCTCAAATGGTCTGTAAAGAGCCACATTTCTGAATTACCCACAAACATCTTAAGGGGACACACACCCTTGGTACAGAGGTGTGCTAGAATTATAGAGTGTGTCCTAATAGATTAATGTGTGAATTGGCAAATTAAATATTAAAATCCATTTCAAAGTATGGTGCTCTGCTCCACCCCGTATGACCAGGATCTCTACAATCATCCAAAACTTTTTGTTGACAAGGAAATCAATCAGTGTACCTGAACATATGCATCATCTTTGTGAGGTCTAGCTCCAGTGACTGAAGTGCCAAGTACATCTTTGTCTTTAATTTGCTGTGGAATAAGATGAGAAAAAGATATTGCAATGCAAGTCACTGGAACTGAAAGCACTTTATGATTTAATAAACAGAAATGGACACCATACTTGTCTCCAGGGAGATTGTACAGGTTGACCAGACCCTTCAGGTGTTTGGAAAACTCATCAAAATTCTTGTCTCTGTAAAACAAATGTTTATGTTTAATGCTGTGTTACCGTACATTAACAACTTTACAGTTGGAGTTAAATAACACACACACACACACACACATATATACACATATATATACACATACACATATATATATATATACACACACACACACACACACACATATACATTATATATAT